AATGTCGGTGTAATGAGGGAGATAGGATAGTTAGAGGGTAATGCCATTTGCACCACTCATTTACTCCATGTAGAAGCTGCATCTTTCGGCATAGTATCATTCAATGAAGACTTCATGTCTCAGGATATCAATACAGCCTATTTTCGTGTGAAGAACAGTCTTTTTTGACAAAATAACTCTCTCAATACTTGGAAATCACCTGCAAATGTTATCAGAATCGTTGGTGGGAACCTAAGTTGTCATTTAGATGTGCTTTTCACTTTATATGTGGTTGGACAGGAATTATGGTAAGTTGAAAGGTTATCTCTAAATGGATTTCATATATATTGGCACTGGTTGGTGCAGTGTGCTATGGGTTATGTTAATTAAATGTACAAAAATATCTCAACTATAATAATATTGTGCCATTGTGTACTAAGCTGACTGATAGGATAACAAACGAAGGTGGTTACTAGAACTGAATCTATTCAGCTTTATTATCATTAATATGAATTTATTCTCTTTTACAATTTCCACTGACTGTATACTTAATGCTACAATATTTTTGATCACCAATAGTGGAGATGAATTTCTCCTGAGATTTCCATTTAGACAAAGCAGTACAGATGCTCTATGACGATTGAATTTTCTAGTTTGCATTATATGACATTATTATCCTCATCAACACAACAGGTCTGTGTACTTTACAATAGTTGAAGTGTTTCACTATGTTGTTAGCACTGTGCATAGCTGTCTAGAGTTGAGGCATGTTCAGCTTATATTTGATGCCTATAGTCTCCTAAATGTGAAAATGTGATTTCTGTAGGATTCACAAAACCTTGTGGACTAGACATTACTGAGATTGTGGATTAACTTCTAAGTTATACACTTGCAATACTTCATTTCATGTAAAAGTGTTTAGTGTGAAGTTGATCTGCAAGTAAGCTTGATGAGAGAATGACGCCTCAATAGTATGAATGTTTCGGAGATTGCCTTGAAATTTGCATATAGTCCTCAAATGCAGGAAAACATATGATGTATATTTATGTATACGGCGTCAACATAAATATCAGCTGTAGACTACAAATACATTTATCTCCCTGAGATAATACTTAGTTTTAACAGAATGATTGTATTCATATTGTATGCTAATATGTAGAATTGTCTCTTGTTAACTTCATGTTATGCTAGTTCTAACATGTACTTTATTTTTTCCAGGTTTACGGAGGTTGTCGAATATGAAATCAGCGGAAACATCATTCGGTCAAACTAACTTTATTACCCTTCATCAGAATTTTCTTTTGTAAATTAATCAAATGTTTAATATACTCTTGATTACTTCTTCCTGTAGACTTCTTCAATTCCTCGCTATACAATGTGCTTTTGTAATAAGTGAATTAGGAATAATAAACGCTAAGCTTAGTTAGTGGGATGGAAATTCACTGTAGTATTATGAGAATGTTACTTTAGTCATTAGTAGGATTTCGTGTCTGTTTCTACACAATAGCACATTGTAAAAGCTAAGTGGGATTTAGCAAGTTGAATAATAATTCTGTACTGTTGGATACTCTAAAGTCGCCTTATCTAACCAGTTGAAAGTCTGTTTACTGTTAAACGCCAAGTATGTAGTACAAGTAAATGTAGTAACTTAGGCTTGATATCTACTTCACTAATCCGTTAATATGCAGTGACATCAAAAAATAGACTGTTCACTTGACCATCAGCTAAGAAACATTTTTTATTTATTTTAATATGCCGTTGAATCATAGGATGTTATCTAGTATCCATCATTTCTGTGATCAAAAACTGCGGTATTTGCATGTCTACTTTATAGATGTTAAATAACCTACGCCTGTATGCATGTAATTACCTCCAGTATTTCCTATTCATTTGGTGTGTGTAAACTAAACAAGTCTTTCATAAATTCTCCCATAAATGCCAAACTTTCTAGTGTTACAAGCGTTAATAAGACCTGCTTCCTTTGTTTCAAATCAAATGAGGTATATACGAACTAAGGGAAAGTTACTCTTACTTAATCTTTAACCCTCACTCAGAGCCTTTAACGATCCCAAACAGTTCTCCTATAAACACAGTAGACGTACTTTAGATGCAGCTGCAGTCTTGCTTCACAACATTTTCTCCAGTATAGACAATGGGGCTAAATTCGCTGCACCTTCCTAGAGTACACATCTGCTTTCGACTCACTACCTAGAGATATTCTGTTAGATAAGCTTGCTGAAACTCAAACTGAGTATTGGATTGTTAGATGGCTTCATTCTAATTTATCAGGGAGAAAGCAGAACACTGTAGGTCAGGGGGAAGTCGTCCATTACCAATTGTATTTTTGTTTGATGAAGTTATTGTACGAATGCATACGAGAAGAACTTTTTCAAACACGCGGACGATCTAACTACTTCAATGTCTGTTAACTGCCAACTACACCGTACTAAGATGAACAGCTCTCTATTAGGAGTGGGAAAATGCTCTTAAACTAAATCCTTCGAAATGTCAGACTGTTATTTTCAGTTTCCGATGTAAACGAAAGTTAGTTGAAGGTGTTAATTCCTATGACCGTTGCAAAATTGATAATAGTGATATGGAAATGAAGTCTGACTCTAAGTATCTCGGACTGATTCATCGCAGCGTGTTGGCCCTAAATGTATGCCACATGCAGGCATAATGTTTATGAGCTAGGTATGCAAATCATGGTAGACGCTTGTACGGTACATTCATTATTTATAAAACTAACTCGCACGTAAGAACTATGGTTTGATCAGTTATACAACGTTTAATACATTTAGACACAATTAACCTACGATGCTGACTTCTATGACGCATTACCTAAAACTACATTAATATAGTTTCCGCTGAAGGTTATCTCCTATAGTTACTACCTTAGTGGGCAACTTAGCGTTATCTTTGAATAACGAAAATTCCGAGAACTTTCTTGGTAAAAAGATCGTCCCTTACTCGAAAAAATTAAATATACCCTAGTCTCCACAAAAACGTTCAGAGGTATTCATCCTATCACCGCAAACGACTCACTATTTGCAGCCATTTAAAAAGTAAAAATAAATTTACCGATGGCAGCGTGCTTATGATTTCTAGATATCATAATGTACCATGAGGAAAACGCTATCTCCATGCGGTTATAAGTCAGATGTGCGAAATTAGTCAGAAACACAACAACCACGATTCTCAGTCACATAACATCTTACTTCGCTACCTAATCGTATAGTCGTATTAACGGATGTTTCGCCGAAGAAAAGAAGACTACTGGTTCAAGGATAATTTATTTAGTTTTTTTTAAGATCGTGAACATCTGTGTCTATAGTCACGGAAGAATCACAACTTCGAGGAAACCATCAATCGTAGACTACAACCCGAAACGTTATTCTTCCTAATTAATGTCTTACCTTTAACTGGGATTGTTTGAACACTCACCAGATCACCGTATTTTATCCGCTTTGAAAACCGTTTTGCAACCCATCGAATGGATGTTAACACTGGCTCTATTACGGGTAGTCCTAGTTCATTTATTGCGATCTAGTACATCAAGCAATAATAAGCATAAGTAACACTTACCCTTAAGGATTCCAGGTTCTTTTAGTTCCCCCAAAATATACACAAGCACAACAGATTCATACTTTTCATGCGGCTCAACCTTATTTGGCTTAGATTCTCTCACAATATATTTTTTTAAATGATAGCAGACACACGGATGGTATATTCACATTCTCAAAAATCTTCAAAGCTTTTTCAACTTCAACCCAGGTTCTAAATTCTCTGGGTTTAATTTGTTCTTCGAAAACCTTGCTAATACCAACTCTGATGGTGCTCTCTTCAACAGATTCACTCGCAGATTGTTGTATGCTGCAAACATGAACGAAAAAGACACTCTTTTTCCAGATTTCTACATGTTATGCAAGTAACTGAGCCAACAATTGTAACGGCAACCAACTAATGGACTGGAAACAACTGCTTCTGACAGCCAAACATCTTCATGTGCACAATTTCAAAACCCTCTACACAGTACTAATTCATTAACAGCTGAAAACCAACTAAAACACTCAAAGCCGCATGAATGCAAGGTATGAAAACAATTACACCGAAATGAATGCACTGGCCTGGTAGTGAAAACTTTCGAAACCAAAGAAATAATTCATTTTAACAGCAACGGAAACAAAAAATGAGGTGAAACGCAACATTTGTGAACGATACGCAACAAGATAAGTCGTGTATAACGGCAGGATAAACGGAACAACAAACGCGTTAACGAACAGCTACGGAACTGCGATCCAACATGGCCGACTAAAATGGACGAAAATGACCTTCGAGCGCCTCACTCCACCAATGACCTTGATAAGTGACGGATAATTTCAGCCTCTGATAGTTTCTTTATTTTCCTGAACAGCGAACGATGAGACGATGACTGCTGGATTGATGACTCCCGCGAAAATAATGGAAGAGTTTGGCTTGAGCAAACGCCCATGAATTGATCATTCAGTCTTCATCTACACTGACATTATATATTTTTTCAACGATATCAAACGACTAACCGTTTAAATGATCATCTCCATTCACAATTGGGAAACGGGCTTAACTCTGCTTATACTACAAACTACATATAATCAACTTGATGTGATTAAGAGCAGTAAGTTGCGCTTGAGATGTCATCTGCAAGTATTATTTTATAAAGCTGTGAGACTCTGTCAAAATAAATTTCATCCATATTGGAAGTACTTATTACTAGTGCCTGAGTCACTCCTCTCGGAGTCTACCAGAGCTACGGCAGTCTAGTGGTTGGACAAAGTATGAAGAAGTGTACCGAACACCAAACACATGTACCTCACAAGCAAGAAGAGAGAATAAAGAAATCAAATTGGTTTACAATTGCTCGTAATGACGACATTGGATGTTGGCGGGTGATTACACAAATACGTTACTAACCACACGTCTGTGGTGTTGTAGTTGTCTGTTCTGGCATTTTCATTCTGTATTTTCGTCTAGTTGAGTTCAATACAGTAACCTCCAAAAGGTTTCTGTAAGTTTCATTAAAATTGTTGATAACTTTATGTATATAACAGGTGGTTTATGTAATATGAAGCAGTTTTTCCAGATGTGCTGTATTATTAATTATTGTAGTCCTACTTTCTATTTAGCAGTGCGGTGATTTTAGACGATGTAGACAGTTGATTAATCATTTTATCCAGCACTCTGTAAAACAACTCGCCCTCACGGTCGTGTAAATGTCCTTGACTTTTACTACATATGTAGTAAAAGTCAGTAAAAATGACCCAGAATATTCTGGGTCATTTTTACTGAGTTTCGGTCGGTGCGCTTCAGTCTTCCTTAAAACGGCTCCATAAACATATTTTTCCCTTTTAATTGCTTATATACCTGTTCGTTTATCCCAGGAGTTACAAGAGGTGACTTTTATGGTGTAGTCTAAGGCACAAGAGGTGAATTATCTCAATGGCTGTACAAATGTAAAAAGCTGTTCTACCTACATAGTTTCATATTCGGATAATAAGGGATAGTAAGCTCTTGTAGCTTATCCTTGCAATGTACATCTGTCTAGAGGTCTAATTTCTTTTTGAAAGCGTTCATATATGAAGTTGTTATCAATTAATCGGTAAGGCATTTCATTTGTTGACCAACTTACATGAGATTTTAGATTCTACACGTAATTAGTCCGACTGTGGTCTGATCACCCTTTTAACTATCTGTTACAATTGTTCTATGAAGAGAGAAAAGGACAGAAAGGTCGGCACCTAATTCACGCTGTAATGTATGATAACCAAGAATTAAGTCACTTTTTCTTCATTTGATAACGAGAAGAGTCTTAAATGATACAGCTTCTTCTCATAAGTGGGTGGGTAATAACAGTGACTAGTTTAGTTCCTACTCTTTATACTCTTCCGAAGATACGTGCCTCTAAAGCATGGATTAACCACTTATGTACATCATAAATTATTTAAATTAATCCCAGCGTGTTAAGAAAATCAAAACAATTCTTAACACGCTGGGATTAATTTATATGATTTATAGTGAATCAATTGACTCGGCGCTCAAATTATTCCAGGAAGTTCGTAACACCTACGGTCTGGAAACCTATAAACTTTTATACATTATTGTAGGTGATGCCTGGTATGCTGACTGGAGTACTTTAAACATAGTATTTGAAAAGCCTTAGCTGCAACTGTATTACATAGTGCCGTTGTTTTCATGTCATGACTAACAGTAATTCCTTAATTCTCTTGTCTTTTATCCCTCATGTTTTGCCTTCGACCTAGTAGGTAGTCACTAGTAATTCCTAATATGTCCTGTAGTGTTAAGGAGAATTCTCATAAATGTGGAAGTTTTCAGTAGGACTGTAGGCGTTCGTCTAACGTACCGTAATGAGTTTATCTGAATTATGAAAGGTCTTAGAAACTTAGGTTCCCGATACCTCACTGCTAAAATCTTCAGACTTGTCTCATCTTATTCTAGTTGGTGTCCAGTTAGGCTCTAAAGTTGGGACTTAACTGGTCAATTGAATACCCACTGATGGTTTATATGCTCTCAGACAACTTAGACTTTAAATTTGATCATCATCCTCTTGGAGGACGGTCAACCACATCAAGGTTGTCTCGGCTGCTTAGTTACTGAGAACAGATTTGTCATGTGCCACAATTATTATTTGCTGGCTAATAATACTACCCAGCTGCTCATACTGAAGTAGGTAAAGCGGGATTTAGGCGTGTATCATTTTGTTTGGAAGTCGATAAGGCGCATTTTGTAGGTTTTCACTAGCGATTAATCCTTAATCCTTGTTATTAACATAATCTACTGTATTATTTTGATATATTTCAAGTTTTTAACTCCCTAACCATATAATAAAAAAGCGTTAAAAATGACTACAATAAATGCATTACATTGAACAGTTGATGTATTTAACAGAATATCAATAAAATTTTGTGATACTTTACGAGTAATGCTTCACATTTCCCTCACTTCTGGCAGTATATAACAATGTCGTCGACTCAGAATGGTAACACTGAACGTGACCCACGTTACTGTCGACTCTGGAAGTGCCAAGTTTCAGTCGGTGAACTCTATCGGTGGATTTTAGCTAAGCTTTCTGACAAGGATATCAAAAGGGCTCTACATAAATATCGGGATTTAATGCCTAGACAATCGGACTGGAATAGAAAACTTACACAAGCTACGAGTATGCCTGAACTTGGGTTTCGATATCTTTATCGATGTGGTCAGATTGATGAAAGTAATCATAGGACTATGCAGAAAATGTTGAAGTATATTGATCGTCAAGATGTACTTCCTTATTTTGATACAATTCTATATAATACAAATCATGCAAATTGTTCTCTAGAAGAACTTCAAAAAGGTAATGTTGCATATTCTTGTAGTAACTTTGTTGTTCAGTACTTTTGGATAAAGTCAACGTGTTTCTAGAGCATTCTTCTGTATTATACGAAGAAGAAGTACATCCCGAACCCACATATGAAATAATACGACGTCAACCAGTTGAAAGTTCACGAATCACAAGGTACGTATTTTATAATAAATTACTTCTTTTGTATAATTGTATTTTCATGTGAAACAATGCACATGAATACGATATCCAGTTATCTTTCTCTATTAGTTGTCCTTTTTATTCAGGATTACTTAGTGCTGAAACTAATTTAAGTTGTGTAGAACGTATATGTTGTACTATAAAAAATAATCTGGAACATTGATAGGTAGATGTCGTATGCGTTTGATTCAATGATATAACCTGCACTCCTTTTTGGTTGTAAGACGGTTGTTGAAACTGGAAGATATGAAAAAACTAACTATGACCACAGATGTTTGCGTTTTATCTTTCGTCTTAGGTGCTGTAATGTAGTGAGCAGTATTGAGGTTGGGTGTAGAGCATAAAAGGAAGGAAGGAAAGTCAATCGATAAGACTGAGGCTACACAGATTGAGATGGTTAGGACAAATTTGGCATATGCAGAGTCACTGCCTTTCTTATCAAGCATAGGATTAAGTTAAGGTCAAGCGAAAACCTGACATCTGTCCATAAAGTCTTCAACAGTTGGTGTGAGTCATGTAGGGAGGTTCATACAGCCTAGTTTGGTTCCCCGGGGTACTAGGAGCCAGTGGCTGGAAACTGATGGAGGTATGGTTTGAAATCGTTCTCGACATCACAGTTACATTCACTTTTTGTGATCTAATGTTTTTCCATGTTGCTATTCTTACTCACATTTCTACCTGTTATACTACTTTTGAACCCCTTTCTTCCCCTATATTTCCTCTACCTTTGTGTACTACAGCGTGTAGTAAGTTAAAATGCTGCACTTCTGTACAAAGTTCTGTGTTGAAAATCAGTCAACCACATTACCTGTTCGACCATAGATTTCTTCATTACTTGATGAAGGCTGATTTCGTATCTAGGTTTCTTAAGTTCAGTACATTCAAAGAAATTTTTTGTCTAAATTGAGGTATTGATTGATTGTTTCGTGAAATATAAACGCACTAAGTATATTTGTCTTCCACATAACTCTGAAAAAGCTTTTTCTGACCAAGAGTCCATCGTAGAGAAGAAGCCATTGTCAAAGTGACGTTTCGCTCTCAGTCAACAGGTTCCATAATTTGACTATCTTACCACCTACTTCATTGTAGAAGTGTTTTTAATTATTTCGATTGATTGTTTGCTATACTGGTTTTCATTCTTGCGTTCTATTCGAAACTTACTGAACCACTTTTATAGAATAAAAAATATTGTTAAGGAAAGAAAAATACAATTTAAATACCATTATTATTAAGAACTAGAGAAGATAGGGTTATATCTATATGATCTATCAAGCTATGGTAAATATATGGCGTGCCTTTAGTGAGGAAGTAATTTCTGTATTTAAATATTTATTGAAGTAAACTCATTTGTTAGGGCATTACCCTTTTACGCCGAATTTAGTTTTATTTTAAAAACCTCCCACATTGTTAATATATGTGTAAAACTTGGGCACTGTGGTAGTAAATAATTCCATATTAGTTTGTTTATTCAATGTATCACACAGTGAAACAGTATTGTATACTGGATGACGTTTCGAACACACATTCACTGTACTTAGAACACAAGATATAGATAGATTTTTCGAGCACATCAACTCGAAGGTAGAGGCAATTCAATTCATTTATGAATTGGAAAGTCAGGAAGGGGAACTTCCAATGTTAGATTCCAACGTAAAAAGGAAAGAAGATGGGAAGCTAAACACTAGTGTTTACAGAAAACCCACACATTCAAACAGATATTTGGGTTTCCGATCATCCCATCCTATGTCAGTAAAAATAGGATTAGTGAAATGTTTAAATGATAGAGCACAAAAACTAAGTAGTACCATGGAAAATCTAAGACAGGAAGTGATACACATAAAAGAAGCCTTGAAACTTAATAATTATCCGGATAAATTAGTCAAGAAATATGTAAGTGAATGTAAAAATAAAATAAATAATGATAATAGCGATAGTGATAATAACAATAATAATAATGGTGATGATAATAATAATAATGGTAATAATAACAGTGACAATAATAATATTAATAACGACACCAAGAATGAGGAATGTAAATCATCAACAGTAATTCCATACGAAGAAGGAACCTCGGAAGCCTTACGCAGAATTCTTAACAAGGCAGGAATAAAAGTGGCATTCAAACCCACAAACTCAATTAGAAACAAGCTTTGTCAGTTAAAGGATCCTGTAGAGCCATTAAAACAAAACAATTTAGTTTATCTAATACCCTGCAGTGATTGTGAGGTCAAATACATAGGTCAAACTAGTAGAACGGGGTTAGTCAGACTAGCTGAACATAAAAACTTAGCAAAATCTAGATTGGTTGACCCAAATAAGGTAAGAAATCTAGAGAACAGTTCAGCTATAGCACTCACTATGTGCAGTTACACACAACCATACAATAGGATGGGATAAGATGCAAGTTTTAAAATCTAATGTCATAGAGTGGAGGTAGAGAATAATAACAGAAGCTTTGTTTATCGAATCAACTGCAAATACATGTAATAGGAATGATTCAACACCTGTCCCAGATATATGGAAAATTCTATTGCCCATACGACAAATAGGAGAAGACAGAGAAAACTATAAAAATCAAACCTCGAAGTCGTGTGACAAAAATTGATGTGATTATGAACAATAAATTGTGTTCGAAACGTCATCCAGTATACAATACTGTTTCACTGTGTGATACATTTAATAAACAAACTAATATGGAATCTCCCACATTGTTGTTTTACGTTATTATACTTTTAATATGTAGAACACAAACTTCAATCAATATGGGCACCAAGAATGCGTCACACAAATGAAATTGTTGTTTCATAGTTTGTACGACGGCTGAGATGTTACCCAGACGCTTAGACTGAGGCAGACGGTTGTCTTCAGGGACCAACCTCCGAGCCTTTGACTTGACGTCTAATCCACTAGACAGTGGGGCAGCTTCAGGGCTATGTTTACATGGTTTCTGACAACCAAACCAGGTCCATACACTACTTGATCCCTCTAAATCGTGGAACCCATATACTCCACAGGCTAGGAATCAGGGTTTTTCAGCTTCCCTAGTTAGTTAGAGCTGCATGTTCACCAATCCAGATGTAAGCGCCGAGCGTTCGCATCCTAGCTTTCACTGTTGTGAAGAATACCCCATTGTGTAAAGTCAGTGAATAGGACTTACGTCGCAGAGGCTATGAACGTGTGACCACGTGAGAGCATTTGGAGAAGAAAGTCAAAGTCTGCTCCATCAACCGTACTTTGATGTTTGTGGACGCTCTACGTTATTGTAAGTGGGACAACTGCTACCTTGCCGTGGTGGTCGGGCTTGAATACCGCAGTGACCCAACAATCTAAACTGGCTGGAACTCATGTCCTTACAGGTCCTACCATGTCAGGAAGGTTGTTTGGATAGCGGTTAGACTAAAAGCAGTTACTATGGGGTACATGGGCTCCAGAATCCAATCGGATCAAATGGGGTATGAACCCATATGGGTCACCGGAAACCATGGGATGCAGCTCCTGACGCTGCTCCGCTGCCTTGCGGACTAGACTTCAAGTGTGGCGACTTGAACTGCCGCACATTTGTGCAAAGTTCTATGTCGAAAACAGACAGACAAACTTCAAGTCAAAGGCTTGGGGGCTGGTCCCTTAAGAAAACCACCTGCTTCGGTCTGGGCGCCCGGGCAGTATCTCAGCCCTCGCACAACAAATGAAATAAAACAAACTATTATTGAAACTCTCCGCGCGCTCGTAAAAATGATTTTAAGTAATAACGATACTTCAAGCAACTTATGTCCTTCCAAACTTACTTTTATTTTTATACATAGATTCCTGTATTTTACCTTTGCTAACCTTGACTTCTTAACCTTCGACAGCCTTTCACCTTTTTCTGGATTCCTAGCCTATCTGTGTCGTTTCGAGATGTTAATGAGTAACCCTCCAAATGGTTGTCCCCAATGTGACATCTAACACAGATATCCTGAAACCGCGTGCCGCGTTCAAGCTGGCCACCTACAATATTCGGACGCTAATGCAAATCGGAAAACAAACAGGGTTGGTAAGAACATTGGAAAGCCTCGCTATCGATGTCTACTGCAGTTTGACGACCAGCATTCAAGACCCCAGTGAAGTGCTTCAATTATCCTTTCTATCTGGAATTTCTAGTAGTATGTACCACCTGTGCTTGTCCAGGGACCCTGTGGCGTCGGCATCTGGCGTAGCTTGTGTCGGTGTCGCACTGAGCGCTAGAGCCGAAGCTGCATTGCTCGACTGGATTCCCATTAACAGTCGTTTATGTGCTGTGAGGCTGGAAGGTTATACGAAAGTAAGGAGTAGTAGGCCAGATAGGCGGTGTCTATTTGTTGTCTCTGCCTATGCACCGACGGATTGCAACCCGGATGCAATGAAGAATGAGTTCTACCACCAACTGAGCGATCTCTTGAAACAGGCAGGTCGGAGAGATGTCGTAGTGCTGGCTGGGGACTTGAATGCACAAATCCGGCGTCTAAGCTCAGAGGAGAATCGCCTAGGTGGTCAATGGGGCCTGCATGGTCGCAGGTCAGATAATGGGGACCGTCTTCTGCAGTTTTGCGCGGATCACAACCTATTTCTATCCAGCACCGTAGTGCTACCTGGCGTCCTCCCTCTGAGATTCAAGCTTGGACTCAGATTGATCATATTGCGGTCAGTTTCCGGTGGCGAGGATGCATACAAGACTGTCGCTCCTTCTGGAGCACATGCCTGGACTCCGATCATGCGTTAGTGTGTGCCAAGTTCGTCTTGCGATTTGGTGGGGTTCGTAAAAGGCGTCGTCTAAGCGTTGATGTGAGCAAACTAGTAGCACCTGCTACTTCTTTGAAATATCAGAATGAGTTAAAAACAATGCTTGCCAGCAACCCCTCAAGTAGTATAGATGAACATTGGCTTCATGTGCAAGGTGCCATGCAAAAGGCGAGTGTAGCCGCTTGCGGCTTGAAAGAATGCTCCGCTAAAAACCACTGGGTTTCTGCGAGTTCCTTGCAACTCCTGGATGAACGCCGGTCCATTCCGGCTGGCAGCGAATACAACAATCAGCGAAAGGCGCTCACGCGCAAGATTAGACAGTGTTTACGTAAGGACCGCGAAGCCTGGTGGTCAGAACGTGCGTGTGAGATGGAGTCAGCTGCTGCATCTGGCAACAGTCGGAAGCTGTTCCAACTCATACGAGCCACCGGCAGCAAGAAACAAGGTGTCAGCGAGACGGTCTGTGAGGCAGATGGCACTCCAATTACCAGCCTGAAAAGACGCCTGGAACGCTGGGCAGAGCACTTCGGGAAGCAGTTTAGCTGGCCACCAGCTTCAGTGTCTACTATCATTAGCCCGAGTGCTCCTTGGTCGGTTAGTACCGACCCACCCACCGAAGCGGAGGTCCGTAAGGAACTCCAAGTGTTGAAACGCCATAAGGCGCCCGGCCCAGACAAATTACCCCCGGCTCTTTTTAAAGATGGTGGCGAGACTCTCACAATGGCTCTAACTGGGTTGTTCAGGAAGGTGTGGGAGACAGAGAGTGTACCATCAATGTGGAACGAAGCCATTATCGTCCCCATCTTTAAAAAGGGTCGACGTAATTCGTGTGACAATCATAGGGGTATCAGTCTGTTACCAGTCGCGTCTAAAATATTGGCTGCTGTCTTGCTTCGCAGACTGTGCAAAACAAGAGGAATTGATTCGCGAAGAGCAGGCTGGGTTTCGTTCAGGTCGTGGATGCATTGATCATGTGTTCACCCTTCGTCAGTTGTTGGAACACCGCCACACGTATTGCAGGCCAACGATCGTTGTGTTTCTTGATATTAGGGCTGCCTTCGATTCGTTGGACAGAACTGTGCTCTGGAACTGTCTGTTAGAGAGAGGTGTACCTGAGAAATTTGTTAACATCTTAAAAGCCCTATACAGAAACACCTCAGGTAGAGTGAGGGCATACAACCAACTATCATCACTGTTCCCAACCAACAGTGGGGTTAGACAGGGTTGCCCAATCTCTCCATTTCTCTTTAACTTTGCCATCGATGACATTCTGGAGTCAGCTCTGAAGGATGTGCGTGAAGGTGGTGTAGATCTGCTACCTGGAGATAGACTTTTCGACCTCGAGTATGCAGACGATATCGTCTTACTGTGCGATAGCATGCAGGCTGCCCAAATCGCACTTAATCAGTTGGCGATCAGTGTCTGTAAGTATGGTATGTGCTTTGCGCCGTCTAAGTGCAAAGTACTGTTACAAGATTGGCAGGAGCCTGTACCTGCACTCACTCTTGCGGTGAACCGCTTGAAGTTGTTGATAAGTTTGTGTACCTGGGTAGTTGTGTGAGTGCTGGCGGAGGGGTGACGGATGAGATTTCCAACCGTATAATGAAGGCTAGGGTGGCATACATCAACTTGAGCTGCCTCTGGCGCCGTCGCGACGTTAGCCTGGCTGTCAAAGGTCGGGTATACAATGCTTCGGTGCGGGCTGCTCTGCTCTACGCGGGTGAAACCTGGCCTCTCCAAGCTGAGGGTGCGTTCAATGGCATCATCGCGTGAGTAATTCAGAGGTTCGGTGGCGTGTGTTGGAACACAGTGGAGATCACCATTCATTGAGTGTCGTCATCTGGAAGCACCGACTCCGGTGGCTTGGACATGTGCTGCAAATGTCATCGCAGAGACTTCCTTTGCTAGCTAGCCCTGGGACGAAATGGAAAAGGCGGAGAGATGGTCAGTCCATGACGTGGCGTCGTGGGATGAAGGATGTTTGTGCTAGATTAGCATCGGTTGGTGCGTCATGACTCTCTGGCTGGGGTCCGAGAGATAGCTCGAAACGTTATCGGATGTGGCCAAGAATCGTAATTAGTGGCGAACGTGTTGCAATTTCCTGCTTTTTTCCCTTCCTGATGATAGTTAACGAATACTGTTTGAACTTGTTAGTCATGACTGTTTTCCTTCCAGATGAAGCTTTTTATCCATTCTATACTTATATTTCATCTAACTTTTGATCTATGTTGTTTTATTATTATTGTGTGGCGCATCCTTCTTGGTGCCATATTGTACCATGTTTTTTCTGCGTTTAAATAATTTAAATAAAAAGTAGGATTAAATAAGAAGGAATTGTATGATAGTCAGACTGGTCACGTGCCATCAGTTCATGATGTTATTGACTGTTGTTGAGGGTCGTGTTGATCGTGTCCTACCTGTTCATTCGCTTATGAGTGCACAGCTCTGTGTTTTTATCTTATTATGTTAATACTACTTTTTATGATTTGCCCATTTATTCACATTTTTAATCTCTATTCAATAATTATATTTTCTTCCATAGATTAAGTTTGAAAAGAAAATCATCTGGCACTGATAGTCCCTGTTACATTGTAAAACGAGGACGTAGATCAATCAATTCACCGTCGACATCATCGTTTTCATCATCATCTTCGAGAACTGGTCAGTCTCACGGTACGGATATATCACCTCTTCGATGTTGCAGTAAAGTGAGATCAGCAATTATGGCGAATTCATTGAATGGTCCTGTTGTGCATACTATGCTTTCTGCATCACTTATTAATATGCTAGCATCTTTACATACCACTTTGTCTCAAGCATTAGAAAATTCCAATTCATTGAATAACAGCGATACCATTGGGAATTGTGTGAATAATTTCAACGCTCCATCGTCTTCATCTCCTCTTCCTGCAAATAATCATTTGATTTTTCATTTATTAGCTATTATGCCGCATTTAATTGCTATTTCTCGTTCAAACCAATCATCTATTATACCTAATCCTGTACTTCCTCGATCTTGTGGTCATTTGAGTGGTAATAATAATAATGACAATAATAATAATAATAACGATAATAATAATAATAATGCAGGAATTTACGGACCGAGATTTATAGGCCTTCATAACAGGCCAATAGTTAATATGGAGAGACGCCCACCACCGCAACAGGTTCAAGAACACGTGGATCCTGCTGTTCCACCTCATAATAATAATAATAACAATAACAATGACTTAAACCTTGCAGGTTATGGTATTCGTGTACCTGTTATCTACAATCCTCATAATCCTGAAGGCGATCGAGTTGCTTTTGCTGCACCGTATATTCGACTACTAGACAATTTAGCACCGGCATCAGTCAACAATCCTCAACAGTCATCAACAAATGCTCCTGTTTTACTAAAGCATATTGTTTTGTCAGCAGGTGGAATCGGGATTACTTCTTCATCAAATAATTCATTAATTCAATATTATTGTAATATTAAACTACATGTCAGTATTGATTTTGGTCCATCAACAGAAAGTTTAGTGAGTTGCTGTATGTGTCTATATAAACTCAACTATTTTAATATTATTATTAAAACTGTTGCCTTTTTCCAGCTGTCTAAATTTAAAGGAAAATAGAATGAATTTTCATTTTATTTAGTTGTCGCGAAGTATGAAACGAGTGAAAACTCTTTTTTGTATAATATAGTGGATATGTTGTAATAGGAAATTTTTCATATTGATCTACAAAACTGAAATCCTTTTGAACTTACAAGTGTATACTATGTTCATCTAAATTTTTGTTATATTGTGACATTTAGATGTAAATGTGGTTCATCATTGGCTTGAACAATCAACTTCTAGCCTAAAAACGTACTTTACTGTCAGCAACTGAGTAGTATCATGAGCCCTTACACAATAGTTGTGTAGCTAATGTGCTGATAACTCAGCGTTAGGATACTCGCCAACCACACACTTGGTCAGGGTTAGATTCTTTGCCGATATAGTACTAAAGCTCCGTTAGCCTGTGGTAAGCCCGGTAAAAAGGAAAGGTTGGGTATGAGGCTAGCAAGCTCATGCCCCGTGGAAAATCCCACCCCCACTGAAACTGTAAAGCTGAATCTAGAAGCTGTATGTTCAATCAGGAACGTAAAGGAATGATACGTTCTTCCAGAACGGCTAGTCACTTTCTTATATTGGCTTAAAGACTTTACAAAAGAAACTAAATTCATTCAGTGTTGGTCTGCGAATATGTGGTCCATTGGCTTAGGCACTCGAATTTCAACCAATAAGGCATGAGTTCGAATCCCACTCCACCTAATTCAGTCTAAGTAATTGGGGGTAGTATCGTTATCCATCACAGAATGCGTGTGGCCCATAACCCGGTTTTGGGTAACTGAGTTCTACGCATAAATTCACTAACTGTCGACTTAAGTCATGTAGGATTCAGTGTAAATTGCGTTACTGGAATACTTGGTATCATATAACTCAGTGGTTAAAAACTTTTTGAAATGGATCGAAATGCTTCCTTCTTGTAATCTTTGGAATTCTTGAAGGTACTTCTTCTGTGTCTCCCAATACGTGTGCCTATTGTTTAATCACAACATTTCTCTTAGTTTCTGTGTCCCTTTTTGAAGTGTAGCAACACATTGTGATGCACTGGCATCTAACGCTTATTTTATAGGTGGGCCTGTGTTCTCTCATGTTCAACTTAGAGCGTTTACTACTAACCTATTACCTTATTGCCTAACGACTGAAATGGTTTAGTGTCTAATTCTTCGCTTGTGAATTATTCATTTGGTGCCATCGTATCAAAATGAAACACTGAATCTGATTGATTACTTTGTTACTTGTTGTACTCGCCTCCCAGATTATTGTAAACACCAATTTTTCTTACTTTAGTTTTTAAATCTATAATTTCTTCGTGTTACTGCATTATCTGCACTGGATGGCTTGATTGAAAAGCTTTTATTGTTATTCTGCACAATAAAATTTCGCTCTGGTAGTGTCTGGAATTTTCGACATCCAGCTCCGAGAATATAACACTAGCAATCCACAATGACTGCAAATCTCATCTATCACTTCTCAACAATCTATAAGTGTACAATCTAACTATATTCCATCTGAGTTTACTTTGTAAACAGTGATATGCGGCAAATGCTGATGTTAGTAGCTTAATCCCTCACAGAATTATTCATATCTTGCCCCAATAAATAACCTGGTATGGTCGAAGGTGGGTAGACATTGGTCTTCCTCTTGAAATGTGCCCATTCGATGACCAGTTCATAGCCTCTATCAGGCAAGTCTTATTTACTTCCTTCAAACGGCTTAGGCGCTCCTCACAAAAGTAAGACAGCGAATGTGAATGTCTGTAGCATACAAACGGATTGGTGGACATGCAGGTCTACCTACCTAGGAAAGCTGAAAAACCCTGATTCCTAGCCTGTGGAGTATATGGGTTCCACGATTTAGAGGATCAAGTAGTGTATGGACCTGGTTTGGTTGTCAGAAACCATGTAAACATAGCTCCTGAAGCTGCCCCACTGTCTAGTGGATTAGACGTCAAGTTGAAGGCTCGGAGGTTGGTCCCTGAAGACAACCGTCTGCCTCAGTCTAAGCGTCTGGGTAGTATCTCAGCCGTCGTACAAACTATGAAACAACAATTTCATTTGTGTGACGCATCTCTTGGTACCTATAATGTATGAATTTTATGTTTTAACAAAAAAAACACCTTGTCTTTTTTTTGTGATCCTGGAAATGCCCGCTAATCCTTCATCTAACTATTTTCTCTTTCTGTCATAGATTTTCTATCGTAGTTCCATTGTATTCCTCTCCCTTATTTATTTGTGTGCTTTTCCAAACTGTGAAAACTTGAATTGTCTCATTTTTTTTACAAAGTTCTGCGTTGATAGGTTAGTCACTTAGTCACCACTGTTTTTAATCTTGTAACGGTATAGGCGTGTACTTTGAATTCGATCATTTCAGCCATTATAACGATAAATAATCTAATATTTACAATGGTTTTCAAAATGATAATAATGGTAATTTTTAGATATTATTTAACATTTAAAGAATTTTTGTTGCTTTCATTATATCCGATTAGAGAAGAATTCAGACACTTCATGAAGACTTCGTTGAAAGGCAAATTGATTTTTTCATTCAAGCGTCTAATACGCTGAAAGCTCGTTCGCTTGGTGAATTTGTTTGCAATCTTCAGTTTACACGGCTTAATCAGCTTGAAGATTTTTGGGCCGATTACCAGTCTGGAGCTTTAAGATCTGTAAGTATGATGATCAATTTTATTTGAAATGCAATTTCTAACCTAGGATGCACATCATTCACAGGGCTATTAAATATCAGAGGTGCGTCGCCGGTTCAATGGTAAAATGCTAACCAGCCATGTTGGAGATCCGGTTTCTGTTCCTGGCTGACGCATTTATAAATCTCGTCTAGTAGATAGTGAGTCCAGAATAGAGGGAAGGTTAGTCGTGAGACTGACAGTCTCACCCCGTTAAAGCAATCTCACTGCCACTGAAATTTCAAAAGCTTGAAATCGTGTATTCCACTCGGATGACAAGAAATAAAGAAATAATAAAAGGCTTAATGTTGGTATCCAGTCTGAGGCGTATTTGTAGTATGCATTTATAATCCCACACCAAAGTGTAACACAGACCCATCAAGTTGAGTATGTTGTCATCCATCTGCTTCGATTATTTTTTTGTTTTATTATCATCATGAATACTGCAACGTACAGAAGTGTTTTTTTGTTTTAGTTTAAACTTCATCAAAATAGGGCGTGAGTGGCGGAATGGTGTACGCGCTCGCCTTGTAACTGAGTGGCCATGAGTTCGTGCCTATGAAGAATCCCAAACTAAGACGAAACAGACGTCCAGTACTCCCTAATTTGTGTGTCAGTAATCCAGGAGTAGAAATCTCGTCAATCACGCACGTAGTCTGGAGTTCGATCCCCGACCGATGAACTCCTAAATTTCGCGAATTCGGTAGTGTGGCCAGTAAAGCGGAAGGGTTGGGCGTGAGACTAGCTATCCTAGGCCCACCTTGTAGGAATGAAATCACTGCTGCTGAAACTCCCAAAGCCCAAGCTTGAAGCCCTTTGTTCCATGTGGAACATGATGAAATAAAGATAATAAACAATATCATCAAAATAGCTTGCATTATAAACCTGCGAACACGTTAAACTGACATGTTTGAGGTATAGTGTTAAGGTATTCCTTTTTGACTATTTGTTGTTTCACGAAACAACGTCACTGTCTTATAGTTATACAACCGATTACCTATTGGCTTTTTTAATTCATTTGGTCTTACTACAATTGTCTTTCATTAGCCGACTGACTGGGTTTCAGCGCAGAACTTTCCACAGTTGCAAACTAATGGTCAGATAAAGGTTATTAAAGACGTGATTTACTTCATACTGGACTGTACAAAAATGTGTACAATAATATATGTTATTTTAAGTACACCGGAAAGTCACGATATTCAACCATGACAGCGATACTTGTGTCAACTAAAATTGTTGTTAAGTCTTTTACTAGTGTTTCTGAGTCATTGACAGAGAAAACAATTCCACTGTCAACGCAGTAGTCTGTAAAGTGAAGCGAACTGAGTAGAGATGTGGCTGATTAGCTTCAACACAATGGACTCTCAGTCTATGGGTTCCAGGTCCGAGTCCCAGTCCGCCTACTTCAACCTGGACAACTGAGTATTAATTTCAGCAGCTTTCATATAATGTGTGACGTATGTATGTTTACTAATTCCTTCACGTTCCCCAAAGGAAAGTAGGGCTTCAAGCTAGAGGCTTGAAGTTTCTGTAGCAGTGTTTATTTTTACAGGATGGGGTTGCTAGCCTCATGCCAAACCTTTCCTCTTTACCAGCTTTATTGCTGGCTTAGCGAGGTAAAGGATTGTGTCGGCCGGGATCGAACCCCGGATCATGTGCATCATCTGCGAGCGTGCTAACCGTTGTGCCACTGACACACTCGTGTGACTTACAGCCCACTTATTTTTTAAAATTATTCCCTTGGATTCTAAGTGGAACATGACGCTTCAACAACACATTTCCATTTCATCCTGTTCTTTGCAGTCCTCTTCAGCAGGCTTCATGATTGCCCGTGAGCTGTCACCTCCTGTCTTCTCCGCTTCTTCTGCCAACTTTCGGTTTTCGTCTGAAGCCCTTCAAGTTTGTTTGACATAAGATATAAATCTACTGGAGGAATTCCGTTTGGTCCTGCTGTATTTCCGCCTGCCTGACAGTTAAACTGAGTCAGGTAGGGAGATGCAGACTCCCGGGCTGGGGGCCTCGGGACTCTAGGAATCAATGGCTGGAGACAATAGGTGACATGGCTCAAAATCGTTGTCAATGGCCAGCGCAGATGTATTCAGTCTCTGTAATCTTTCATATTCCTTTCTACTTTTATTACCCATTCTGTTTCACTCTTATACTTGTCATACTCTATTGATTCTCTTCACTCATCTTCTTGTCTACCTCTGTGTGCTATTTGGAACGTGGCAACTCGAACTGCTGCACTTCGGTGCCAAGTTCTATGTTGAATCCAGACAGACAGACAGTATTTCCGCCTTTCAGTAGCTTTATGGATTTCAAAACTGCTTTTTTTGAGGATCGGTGTTCACCAGTAGTACTGTGGGTGTTGGTGGTGTTTCTGAATAAGTCGTGGGTTGTAATTAGTTCACGAGTTCTCTGAAGTCATCAACCCATAGTTTCCTTTGCTTCTCCTCTTTGGTAATTCTGTTCCTTTCATTACCTCCCATAGATTTGATCTGTGTCGATCACTTCCCTGCTAACGACCTGGTTTTCTGATATAATGGTCTGAGGTCTCCCTTCCCTGTGGTCTTCTCTGCTTCATTTTCCAGTGTGTCGTAGAATTATCTTTTGTAGCACTCATCTTCACTTCTTTATTTGATGCGTTGCACATTGAATTCGCCTTCTTTTGTTGTCCATCTTTGCGTTGCTTCACTTCCTGTCTCACCATCCCTCTGTCCTGTGTTGCTTTCATGTGTTTTTCCTAAGACTGCTGCACAGGTTTTCTTCAACGTTGTTTTCAGAGAGTTCCAGTGCTCTTTCACACAGATTTCTTCGGTGACGCTGTGTAATATCTTTGAATTCGCTCTGATAACTGCAATGAAGTTGTCGTTTGTAGTTTTATATTCTTCAGTTTCTGAGTGTTGAATTAGAGTTGTGGTCTATCCCAGCTTCTTTAAAGGCTTTTCGAAAGTTCGGCCAAGTTATACTTCAAGCACCAGTGGAGTACGACCGTACCAACAATCTTGAAACGCTCAGTGAGCAAGTTGGTGAAACCTGGTTAATAGTGTTATAATCACGAATAAAATATGCCTAACGAAGTGCTATGTTCTTAAATGGGATATCTGGCAACCTTCAGTTTGGGTTTGGGTCAGATGAAGTTAGTGTTTAGGCTAAGGACAGTTTAGGGTTAGGTTAGCCTAATAAAGGCGACATTATGGTTGGTTCGAGTTAGAACAGGGTTAGTTTGGAGATATTTCCATGTTAAGGTTAGGTTAAGAAAAGATTAGGGCTAAAAGACTTAGATAATTACAGGCATAGAATGTGTTTAAATTACTCTGTTGACGCTCCAATGCCAAACCAGTAGGTATTTTTGTCACATTTCAGATAAAGGTATCTTGTGTAACAGTTTCACGTCTTCCAATTTATGATTATCATGAATATATGTATTTTATACGCAAAAATTGTTATTATCATATGGTTAATGCGTTCAAGTTCGTTTGTCCGTTGGTATCCACTGGTGTTTACAGTTTAACTTTGCCGAAAGTTCTTTACCCTAGATAATGACCTGAGCCCATATCTGCTTCTCTTCTCTATTTGGCGAAGTTAAACAATACCGTCCCAAGGGACGCAAACGCTCCAAGGATCTTGAACGCACGATAGTCATTGGTTGAGCATACCTGTCGTTACTACAGCACAAATGTAAACGTTTTTCACCAAGTAAGGAGCGAATTTCACCCAGATTACGTTTTTAAGCTCTGTTTGGATAATGTGTTAATAGCTGTCTAGGGCTAGGGATTAGGATTAAGGTAGGTATTAGGGTTAGAGTTAGGATCAGGGATATAATTAGGGTTACGATAAGGGTTATAGTTGGGGTTAGGATCAAGGTTAGGACTAGGGTCAAGATTAGGGATAGATTTAGAGTTGGCATTATTTTTTTTGTTATCCACATTTTCCTAGTGGGTAGTCGTCGATCCTCTAACTGGAAACCATAGCAATTCAGCTGAGGGCCTTTGGGAAGACTGTAATACAGGATAAGAGTAACCGGTAACCGGTTCTTAATTAACAAATAATTATTACTAAATAAGGCAATATAATATTCCAAGAGTAAGATAAAATCTACAGCAGTAAACGATTTCCTGTTGAACTTCTGTATTTTTGTCACCACTTGTCTTACACTTTGGATAAGCTAAATGTATTTGTTATTAAATTGTCATTCATTGTCCATTGTCAAAGGATGCCTATATTTGTTTTGAACATGGAATTTTTTGATATTAGAATAGAAGTAAGCCTAGTTTATGTCTTTTTGCTTGTAATATTTACTAATTATTCCCCGTTAAATTTTTTTCCATTTTCCAACTTAATTAAGTATCTTATGTCAACCCTGAAAAGTAAGAAAAATCAAGGTTACTTTGGTGAACAACCACCTCCTCCATCTCAGTCATTTTCTTCGTCGTCAGTAGGTGAACAACCTGATGTTGCTGATCAACCTAGACAAAATCAGCCAGTAAATCCTGTAACAATCAAGTTATGAATATCCCGCCGAATGTTCAAGCGGTTCCACGTGGGAACAATGCTAATATTCCCTGTTTGAGTAGTAATGACTTAGGGAATGTAGCCAGTTCGAGTCTATCAGCTCCTCCACCTTCAACTCCATCAATATCTTTAAATATGGCTCAAGATACTCATTCACTAAACACTCTGTTGTCAGCTTCTATTGAGATATTGAATCGTACATTTCAGCGTATTCGTCGACGTGACCTAGCCATTCCAGTAGCATCGATACCTCCAGATAATTCATCGAATGATTTTAGCAAATATGAATTAAATTTATTTGTATCACGTCGAGAATATGAAAATGGTCGATGTTTGTTAATGCGTAATCTACGAAGTATACCAAATTTATGTCAATTAGTTTCAGCGTCATCAATTCTACCTACAGTCGAGGGTATTAATACTACTTCTACTACTACTGCAGAAGCAACAGTATCATGAGGAATGGATGAATAAAGACTATGGATATGCAGAGTGTATTCTAATGCATTTTTTGATCTTACTTCATTCATTTATTCTTTTGTCTTAACATTTGATAATAGTAACTTAAAGAATCACTTCCTTCTCCCTAAGGCTGACTTTTTAAGAACTCAGGGTTCGCCCAGTGAGTCCTGGGTTCGAATCCTTCTCCAATTCAATTCTCGTTTTGTTTGTTTTCTGTTTTGTTTCAAGTTGTTTGTTTCTTTTCAGTGTATGGTGAGAAAATAAATAGGTAAACAAAATATTTATGTTACTTTTTCTACATAATTATGGGTTTGTAATGTGTAAATATATAAATAAATAATTTTTGGGAGAATTTGATTTTGTCCTTTTTTTCATATAAAGATTCATCTGAAATTGAAATTGGCTAGGCGAGAGTGGGGGCTGTAGTGAAAATTGTGAGAAGTAGTTGAGTAACCGACTATCTAACGAGTTTAGTCACTTTCCGGTGATTAAACGAGAACCTAATGGCTACACTTTGATTGTACACTAAGTGGTCTTATAGGAAATCAATCAAAAGTCCAAAAATCTTAGTGGTAACGTCTCTGACTGTACCACCACTTGGCAACCGGGATTCGAATCTCAGAAGGGACATGAGTTCCTCGAACACTGCAGATACACCTTGCCGACAAGTGTGAGCAAGCATAAAACATAGGTTAGACAGGGCTTTTTGCCGATTGCCTCCAATCATCTAACTATTCAGTCGCTTTAGATTTTCCTTACTTTTGTCGTTTTGCGAAACGTTTATTATTTTAAGCGTGGTTTGATAATAAGTAGTACACTTGTGCTTCATTGAGTGCAGTGGTTGTTTTTAGTAGTTAAGATTATTTAGAACTGAAAGATTTGTCATGTACTATGGTATCAACTGCAACGGTTGTATAGACACGGATGATATTAATCGCAGTGATGCAATAATAATAATAATCTACTTTATTCCAGAAACAGTACTTGTAATACAGAATGGGATTCCCAGCATTTATCACAATATCGCATCTGATTTACTCAAAATATAAATAAAATTAAAACAAAATTAACTGGAGGAATTTGTCCACGTTTACGATATAAAGTCAAAAATATTCGAAGCACGAATTGAGAATATTAAATATAGTAATAATAGTGAGCTTGTTTCAAACAGTATTGCCGATTCAGTTTGGAAATTTTAGCATGTTATTTAATCTAATGTTTTGTTGATATAGTATAGTGAGAGGAAATACAAAATTAACAGCTATAACAGCTTAAATGATGTTCACACTTACGAAAAAAATAAACGAAAAAATTGAGAGGATTATAAATATAAGAAATACAATAACAATAAAGTTTGGTACTGTAAGGGTGGAAGAAATGGTTTATTTAGTAGTGCAAAGAAGGTTAGTTAGTTCGTACCTGACACTATTTTCATCACATAAAGTACGTGCTAAATATGGTATAGTGGAATTTTTACACTTAGACGTACGTGCATAAATTCTTCTGAAAAGACTTCTTGTTTTACCTGAGGAGACACAAGTTTGGGGCTGCGGGTATAGTTAGTGCTCAGAGTATGACAAAATTCCTTTAAGAGTCAATCTGAACGAAGAATATTCTTTCCAATAATTTCTCTTCAGGTTCTTACAATTATAAAATATAATATTTTTTGGCGTTACAATAAAGGCCAGTCATGCGCCGGATGCATTTTTAGCGTAGAATAACAGATTAGTTATGGGGTGTCAAAATAAATAGTCGTATTCGTGTGACAAACGTGCTAGGCTGAAATCGATTACCAAAATATTGTAAAACCGGAGACAATGGTGGTGATTAATCATAATAGATTTGTAGAGTGTGGGGTAGGAAGATTGACAAGTCAGATCAAGGTTATACAAGGTGTCAGGTGAGTGGCTAGTACAAAGTGGTCTGTGTTAAACAGGAGATAATAAGACTGGAATGAGAGGTTCATAATGAAATAACGAATATGTGAAATGAAACAGGTGGAGGCATATATTGAGAAAACTTTTTCTGTAATATAAATACGACTGTACAGCTTGAAAATGAAGTCGTTGAAAAGAAATTTCTTCGCTGAACAAAAAAACTGTGTTTTTGCATATGAATAATATATGCCTCCACCTGTTTCATTTCACATATTCGTTATTTCATTATGAACCTCTCATTCCAGTCTTATTATCTCCTGTTTAACACAGACCACTTTGTACTAGCCACTCACCTGACACCTTGTATAACCTTGATCTGACTTGTCAATCTTCCTACCCCACACTCTACAAATCTATTATGATTAATCACCACCATTGTCTCCGGTTTTACAATATTTTGGTAATCGATTTCAGCCTAGCACGTTTGTCACACGAATACGACTATTTATTTTGACACCCCATAACTAATCTGTTATTCTACGCTAAAAATGCATCCGGCGCATGACTGGCCTTTATTGTAACGCCAAAAAATATTATATTTTATAATTGTAAGAACCTGAAGAGAAATTATTGGAAAGAATATTCTTCGTTCAGATTGTCTTTTAATTCATAATATGGGAATACTTCACACTATCAAAATTCCTTTAGCAAATTTGTTGCATGACATCAAGTGCCTATCAGTGACATTGTCAACGATATGGCCCAGTGGGATACCAATCGTCCTACTGACAGTCTTCAGAGTTCTAAGAAGGAAGACATATTCTTTTTCAAGCAATCCTAAAAAGAATAAGGGTGAACAGTAAAGAAGAATAGGTAAGATACTTGAGTTAACAAACTTTAAGAGGAGGGGTTGGGTTATGCCTGAGTGCCTTAATTTCTCAATGTAAAGAGTCAGACGAAATGCTTTTTTTAGAAATCGCTAAGACTTGAAGAGACCAGGATAGGTCAGTAGAAGACATTTAACATCTGACTTGATTTCTGTATCACTGTTATCAATTTTGCAATGGGCATAGGAACTAACAGCTTCATTCAAGATTTTTTTTTACATCGGAAACTGAAATTAACAGTCTGATATTTGGAAGGATTTAGTTTAAGGCCGTTAGACGAGGACCATTTGCTAATTCCTGATAGAAAGCTGCTCATCATAATGTGGTGAGAGCAGGCTGCTAGCCAAATTGGTAGGCATTAATTTACGTCAGTGTTTATGTCCCCAATATTGGTCATGAGGAAAATGAGAGCAAAGGCTTTGCGTAGGCGGATACAGTTAACATATAGATGATCTGACGTTCAAGAAACAGCCACAAAGAGATGCGAGGTTAACTTTCTGTGAGAAACAACCAATCAGAAGAGTGTGTTTGTTTGCTTGAATCAGCTATAATAATGTACATGAAAATCTATAAATATGTGTTGATTTCCTTAATAAACGATCTGTTGCCTGGCCCTTGTCTTCTGTTGTTACAGTTTTATCTATGTAGTTGACCTCACAATCATTGCAAGGTGTAAGTTGTAAATTAATATTATTTTGTCTAATTGGGTCAGCCGGGTCCTTTAACCTACAGAGCTTGTCTCTGAGTGATTTTGTTGGTTTAAATACTGTCCTAATTCCTGCTTCGCTTAGAATCCTACGTAGGTATGACCCATCATTCATACTGGAAATATGGAAAATACTACTACCAATCAAGTCGAGCGATGAAAAGTAATGGAATTATATAAAAGAAGTTAGAAAGTTGTGTGAGTAGTGCCTTGATATGATTATGAGCAGTAAATTATGCTCGAAACGTGGTCATCAGTAAATATTACTGTATAACACTGTGAGACTTTATAAGAATAAATTTTACCTATGATGAAATTATACTCTATCACAGTGCACAAGTTCTTTTCTTATTTCAGTTTTTCACACTGTTTAGAAGCAGTGGGTAGCTACAGAATACCACTCTCAGTGTTGCCGCAGGAAACGTCTTCTTTAGGGAACTAGAGGTTCCCCTCTCTAGGATATCTGTCGCTGAGTCTCCCCTGATGAAGCCCATATTCTTGTACAGTATTTTCTTTAATACTGAATTTCATGCTTCTCTTTCTGGTTCTTGGTTCATGTTCTTCTCTACAAGCCGTTCATTGTATTCTTTTTTGAGCCAGGAATAAGAGATTTTCGTCCAAGCACTGAATGCTTCCAATTCTTCTGATACATTGGTCCAGTGAAATAAAGAGAGCACTCTTACAACTCACAGGTATCCAGCTGTAGATGTTTTTCAGTTGGCCATTCCATGATGGTTTTCTGTGGATAGATCTTTTCAGCCTTCCATCATCCCATCTTGTCAATTCCTCTTCTGGAAATGGAGTTTTTGATTCACTTTCACAAATTCTATTGTGAATTTAACTGACGGATGGCAGTCAATTAATTCGTGTAGGACACAGTTTAAATTAGAAACATCATGACAAACTATAAAAGCCTCGTCGATATACCTTTTTTACAGCAGTAATTTGTCTAATGTTGATTTTAAGATCCCATTTTCCGAACTGGTCATGAAGCAGTCTGCTAAAAGGAGACCAAGAGGACAGCCCATGGCAATTCCATATTTTTGTTTGTAGATATCATCACCGAAGGTGAGTAATACATTAAATGTGCATTTCAACGACAACTCTTTCAAATGTGGGTTTGGTGTTCTGTTGGTCAGATTCCTGTCTTTCATATATTTGCGCAGAAGACAAAAATACTAAGCGAAGAACATTCTTTTCGATAACTTATCCAACAGATTCTAAAGTCATATATTCATAACAATTAGGGAATAACTTTTATTGACAAAATTATCGTATTCAAGTATTCGTTTGTAGGGATTTGGTTGATTGGTTACAGAATTTCATCATGAGCTAACATCGGTTAGAAAACCATTCGAAAACCAGCTAGGAGTACTGGATAGCAGTCTTGCCAGCCTAGTTTCGGACTCTTCAGCAGCACGCACCCACACCGCAGGATTCGAACCCAGAACCTTCTGGCAACAAGGCTAGCAAGGTTGTAGACCACTAAGTCACTGGGATCCGATCCAATGACCAGCCCATGAATTCCAACTTCTGCCAATTCACGACATAGCGCAACCACTAGCCAATGTCTTCGGCGAGTATTTTTCCTCACACCTGACCTGCTGCACCCTACTGGTCATGACTTCCCACTGGAACCCCAGGTAACTATCTACCTGAATAGAGCCAGTCGCCAGGTAAGTAGTTACCTGGGGTACATAGGTGATCAGAAGATTAATACAACTTAAGAGGGATTGAAATATTTACAAAAAGTCAAGCAAATGGTTCCATTATTTCTGGAAGGAATAAAAGAAGAGAATTTTTTTAAACTGACTAAGTAAGAAACAATTAAAGATGTAGTAGGCTGAATTAATAAATTACTTAAAACAGTAACTTATAAACGGCTTT